TACTGTGACGGGCCAGACGCTGTCAGAGGAGCAGGGGTGGGTGATAAACAAGCTAGGTTTCTACCCTCCCTGACCACTGCCCCACATTCTCTCTGCCTTGGTGTTCAGGCTGAGACTTCAGTGGGGTCGTATGAGATGGCCTTAAGGCTTCTGTTTGGAGCCCAATCTGCATAGATGCCATGGCTTCCTATGTGGGGAAAAATGAAAATATGCTTTTAAATAGTTAAGTCTATATATTGACACAGTGGAATAGTATAGAGCAATGGAAGAAACTGACCTGCACTTATCAGTAAAAATATGGATGTATCTCACAAACACACTGAGCGAAAGAAGCCAAGTATACACAAGTTTACACTCCATTTGTGTGACGTTCAAAACTAATCAATAGTGTGTCACGTTGGGACTGTGGTTACCCCTGTGGGACAGAGACAGCGAGGGACATGATGGGGCTTCTAGAGGGCTGGTATGTTCTATTTCTTGATCTGGGTGATATTACATGGGTGTGCTCACTATATGAATATCCACCGAGCTATACCCTCATGATCTGTACAATTTGCCGTGTGTGTACTCGACTGCAATAAAAAGTTTATTTAAAAATATGCTACGGATACATGAGAAAATGCATTTAATGGCATATGTGAGATCTACCCCCTACATTATTAAGTGGCTTTTTTGAAAGAGAACTCCTGCCTGTCACCACCAAGCCAAACATTCCTGGAGACGGGTGGTGTTCCAAGGGAGTGGCTGTTAGAAAGCCCGGGAACACTTCATTCTGGTTCTTTTTCCAGTCTCCTCACCCCCAACAAATCTGCAGGTTGCTGGTGATACACACCCCAATCAGCTTCCTCCCCCAACACCACCGGCATTACTGAGCATCATCCAGGAACCTTTACAGGCACCTTCTGTATACAGGCCCTGGGATGTGAAAGTACAGAATGTACAATCTGCCTGGGGGTTTACAAAAATATATGTATAAAATATACATCCATACAGATATATCTGAAATATGTACATGCTTTTTACATAGTATTTTGCAAACATAAGGTAATGAAGGATATGCTAAGTGTGGTGCAAATGCCAAGTGTTATTCGGATTTAGATGCGGCTGGGGTATCAGGCAAAGCCCCAAGGAAGACAATCTTTTAAGAGGGTAGGAATGGAGACACATCTGGGTATAGTGTGACTCCTATATGATGCATCAGGTAGAATACAACATCACCTGGAAAGTATTCTAGTCGTCATTCTTAGTTTATGAAGGCCTTAGGACTAACTTTCAGCTCATGAGGCACTGACCAGATGACCCATAACACAGGACACTGCAGGGTGAGAGGCTAGGTTCCTTCCAAGCCATCAGGACAGAAAAAAGGACTCTCGTGGGCAAAAAGTGAAGTGAGGACATGGTCACCATACGCAGTGTGGGTTGTTTGAGTGGATTCTGGTTTGGACGATCAGCTGCAAAGGACGTTTTTGAAACAAAGAGTGGGAGGACTGCCAGGGTAGAAGAGGGCAAGGACAGGCCGAGGGCAGGAGGAGGGCTGGGGAGGGCAGGAAAAGACAGGGGTCAGGGGGTGGTCAGGGCAGGACAAGATGGTGGCAGCCTCAGCATCGCAGCTGGTGAGGGCAGCAGGGCTTCTGCAGGCCCAGAAGGCCTTGTCGAAAAACCAGCCGCTTTGCTGGGTCTTCACTGGTGGGCAGCCAGCTCTACCGAGACCTTACCCCTGCCTCCCGGTCCCCACCCAACTGCTTCTCCACAGCCGGCGCTGCAGGGGTCTCTCCTCCTGGTCTTCTTTTCCCGCCCTCTAGGAATGCAGACTCTGGCTGATGTGTTCCTGAGTGCCTGTCTGCTCTGCCGTGTGGTCCCTGGACTCATTCCTGCTTCTAATTGGGTCCTGTCACCTCCCCAGGGTGACCTTGGAGCCCTCCTCTCCCCACCCAAAGAGCCAACAATCCCTACTTCCACTACTCCCACCAACAAAGCCACTTCTTTCCTCTCCTCTCCCACCCTCCTCACATCCCTTTTCTCTATCCACGCCTTTCTTTCTTCCTGCCACTCTCTTGCCACTTACTAGCTGGTAAGCTTGACAATGACATAATGTCTCTGTGCCTCAGTTTCCGCAGCTATCACACAGGGATAGTAACAGTCCCTGCTTCACTGGGTTGTTGTGAGGATGAAATGAGTAGCTATGTCTGAACTGCTTAGATCGGCACCAAGACAAAATAACTGCGTGGTGTCCACAATCGTCACCGTGCCTCTCTGCCCAAGATGCCCAGTCCTTCTCAGGATCAGTGAACGACCCCAAGGAGAGGAGTCCTGGACACCACAAGCAGGAGCCCAAATGCCCATGTACCGGTGGGTAAAACCTCAAAAACAGAAGCTGGAGTCTTCACCGGATAATTCGAGCTGAAACATCACCTTATTTATGGGACAAAGTTCCCAGGAGTTTTATGACTCTGTGGAAAATATTTTGCAGCACCAATATCTATTTAAGAGTCATGACTGGTGCTTTTCCAGATGGCAAACAGCTTAAAGATGTTCTTCTAGCACTGCCAGGTTTATTCGTAAGGACACTAATTATCTCATTAGAAATAGGTTCCTTTTATGATTATGATTAGCTTGTTTGTTTGTTTTTTTAAATTCTGGGAAAAGCACATACGCATGTTACATCCCTGGCCAATGGAAACCTTGGGCTTTTCCAGAGCAGAAACTCCCTAACCCAGCAAGCACTGCTCCCAAGCCACACTCTCCGTCCCAACAGAAACATACAGGGTAAAATCGAATTTAAAATCACAGTGGGTTTCAGTTAGTTTTGTTCTGGAAATTCTGCAGCCCTCCCTGAGACGGACACTTGCAGCTACGGTGGTGCTCTAGACATGGGCTGCACAGAGGGATATGTCAGAGGCTCCTCTGTGGAGGCCGTCACAGCTGCACTTGCCAGAGGAAATTTCATGTTCTATCTTCAAGGCAGGAAGGCTGGATTTAGTGCAGCTAAAGCCAAGGGAGGACATAAGAGCATTTCAAACGCTCAAGTCAAATCTGAAGAAAAAAACTGTATACATTATCTGTGTGTCTGGACTCCAGGTTGGAGAGTGGGGTGAGAGAGTAGCAGAGGAAGTTAACTCAGCCTTGATTGTCACAACCACAATCGTTAGAGAGACAGCAAAGAGCTTTGTGAACTTTCAAGGTGTTCTCCTTTGGGGCTCGGCTTGTACCCAACATGCTCAGGCAGTAGGGCCAAAGAGAAGACGTCTCTTTTGATGCCCCAGTTCTCCTAAGAGGGAAAAACCTCTCAGGGGCCGCCTGTTAGCTCCAGCACCTCCCTGCACAGCTTTAACAACTGACCCAGCAGTTTCCCTGGGAGAAATGTAATGCACAGCCACAGAGAGCCTCTATGGGCACCAAGAGAGGACAAAAGGAGCCACTGTTGCCACAGCCCAGGAGGCAGCAATGGGGTGTCCCTGCAGGAAGTGGGGAGCCAGAGGGTTCTGCCTGGCCTCCCCTAATGCTGATTAATAGGGCTGTAAACATCCGCTGCGAGCATGTGCTGCCACTAGTGTTTCAAGATGCCTTTCAGGACAGACTGGCAATCCCTGGCTTCAGGGAACTTCGCAGCCACCCCCGGAGGGCTTCCTTGTGTACTGACCTTGCTGCCAGCGCATGGAAGTGACTCTTCATTAGTTATATTAAAGAAATGTAAACACCAGCCACTAACCACATCTAATGATTTAAATTTACATTGATGAAAATTAAATCAATCTTAAAATTCAGCTCCTCAGTCACACCAGCCACATTACAAGTGCTCAGTAGCCTGGTGGCTACGGTACTGGACAACCCACACATAGAACACTTCCACCATCATAGAAACTTCTGTTGGACAGCCCTGCTCCAGATGTATTCTTAACAAGCCAATCACTTCTCTTATATCATTCCATTCAACGAATGGGTATGAACCACTATGCTATACAATGCCTGCTACTACTATAATAACATGTTAATATTAGCCATTGACATTTGGATATTTAGTAACTTGCACCGAAAATTAAGACCTGTCTGTATCAGGGATGATTTAAAGTACATATATTCAGAATTAAGAATGATGTCTCTAACCTAAGGATGCTTGCTTGCATTTCAAGGATTGTAAACAATGTAGAATCTAGACTCCATTCCTGACACTGCTAATTCTTGAGAGAGAAAACCGCTCAACTATAAGACTCGGCGCTGTGGATGCCCCCCGCCAGGTTTTGCTGGGATAGACAAATTTGGTGTGATGTTTCACTGAAGAATCCTGCTGACTGGCAGCCCTCAGGATCTGCATGTGCTGGCGTGTCAGCCCCACTCCCCAAACTGCCTCCCAGCCTTGACACACCCTGGTGACTCAACTTGCCTTCTTGTTAACCCAAAACCCTTTCTTTGCTCGACACGTTTCCCCACTGTGGGCAGACTTTCTTTCTGCCTTAGGAAAGCTGACATCAATAACGCTACCCCGTGCAGCAAACTCCTGGAGATAACCCATTACTGCAGAGGGGGTGCAGGGTGCCATGAGACCCAGGAATAGTGTGAGTCTCCATGGAGCTTACAGCAACCAGGCTGTTCAATTTATTTCTCTGCTGTTAATTCCAAGGTGCTGCTACTGCTACTTCAAACTGTAATAGTGTCTACAAACAATTTGCACTTTTGGAATGGCATGATCCCAGGGGGTAATTAACAAACCCAGGGAATAATCTTTTTTAGGGCTTTTAAAAACAACAGAGACTGAGGCCACCTCCGATGAAATGGAACCACTCCCCTTTCTCTGTCATTTCAGAAGATACCTGGCTGACTCCTAGCGAGGTTTAGAGGGCACAGGTCCTGGGCTTGATGGAAAGTTCCTCAAGATGTGTTAATTAGAAATCCAGTGCAGCGTGTCTGCTAGCTGTAGAGCTTCCGGAAGGGAACAGGTTCTGAAGAAGGGCTGAGGTTACAAGAGTAAGGAACAGAGATCACGAGGGCCGTGCACTCCTTACCATTCACCATTCCGAGGTAGAAGACCGCGTTCACCAGCACGCCTCCTTTCCGGAAGTGGTCACTCATGTGCTCCAGCCAGTTGGCATCCAATCCGCTCACTGCCTGGCCGTTTCTGGAGACCCGGAGAGGAATGGTGACAGGGTAGTACTGTCGGCACTTCTGATGGCTCTTCGGTTTGTTGAAAAGGGCGAAGATCTCCATTCCTGTTGGGATTTGTAAAGGGAGTGGAGAGAGAGAAAAGGTCAACTGGTGATAAAAATCTGCCTCATTGGATTTAGTGGAATCTCTCAGGGACCTCAAGAAATGACATTGTTAAGGATAAAGTCTCTGTGAGGTTGTATTGTTGCCAAATAATAAAGCCTGCTTCCAAGTGGTAAGTTGAGGCTGCCTTAAAGAAACATGGACCACAAACATTGGGCTTCAGATGGGGGACTTAGGCTTTGAATCTGGAATACAACGAATAGCTGTTATCTGGGATTTCTTTGCACAGTTAGGTGTTTGAGAGAACATAGTAGACATTTCTACAAATTTATACAAAGATGTATTTTGGAGACATATTTGGGTGAGAGTTGGTCTTTTAAAAAGTACAGAGACACATAAAGACAAAAATATTGCTCCAATTCCAGGAATTGTGTACACCCCTGAACTCACTATTTATAAACTGCAGTGGTGTTTCCTGGGCCCTGACCCATAATACTTAATCAAGTACATCAAAAATACATCATTGATATGTAAAAATAAATATGTTCCCGTAAATGAGGGTTCCTGCCTGGAGTGGCAGGCCGGCCCCAGCAGCCAAGCAGGCGTTGGAAGTGAGGCGCCAAGCTTTCGGGTCCTTCATTTATAGCTCGGTGCTTCAGAAATCAATATCACAGCCACCCAGCAGCTGAGCTGTATGTGCTGCTGGGCATGAGTTAGCAGCGGCAGCCTCCAGGAGCAAATACCTGGAATTTCAATCTAAGTCTGAAGGTCTATTTTTGTGTTACTCATTTAGTCAAGCAATCAGAGTTGACCCAGCTTCAAAAGCTTTGCTTCCACAGGCTAGTCAGGAATATGCTTTGGTTTCCAAAAATATCTTCTCGAATCATAAAAAAAATCCCCACTCTTCTTTCAAAGAAAAATTTAAAGGTCATAAACAATGGTTGACATTAGCAATAAGGACAAAGCACATTCAAGCGTGAGACACCTGGACCCACATTCTGGGATGCTGTTTCCCAAATTTCAGTATTTCACCATTTTTTTCTGGTATCCAAGGTTCTACTAGCTAATCATTTTTGTTTTAAATTGAGTCCCTTTCCTTTGTTTAAATAAATGCATTTAAGAATGAAACTTTGCTTCATGACTTTAAAGGCAAACCACTGCCATTTGCCATAAACAAGGGGTAACAACGAAGCACATTGACACCAAAGATGTTCACCCACGTAACATCTAAAATTAGCTCACACAGGTACTGCATTTTGGGACAAAGGAAGTCTTCTCACAGCCCCATCTGATTTCTGGGGATCAACGCTGGGCTGTAAGACTCTGTCATCAGCAACAGTTAAACTAACAGGGAGCCACTTCAAGTCCATCCAGTAGAATCAATCAGAAAAGGAAGGTGCCATCTTCAGAAGTGACCACCTGCATTCTAGACACCAACTCGAGCCTGTCCACCATCCCCACCCCACACTGCCTTTCTCGGTCCATCCACCTGACGCACAGGAAGTCATCTGCAGCCAGGAAATGGTTCCACACAAGAAATTAGGTCTGGGGGTATGGCGCTGGCAATCACTGGACTACTTCAAGACTTCAAAAGACAGACTTCAGGAATGGAGTGATGCAGAGGAGGTTTGTGATGGAGGGACCGAGCCACGGACTGGACCTGAGGGGAGCAGGAAGTGAACTCGATGATGGGTGTTTTCCAGTCCTAGGTGCCAGGGGTTCAAATAAAAGCTACAGTTACTAAGAGGATAAGCAGAGCTATAATGAATTCTTGGCTTTATTTGGATTTCTTCAAAAGCAGACTGTACGCTTTCCTGTGCATGTAGTTTATTTAGGAAGTGATCCCAGGAAACGGAGGGAAGGGGTAGGGATGGGAATATGGAGGAGACGAAGCCAATGACGGGTGCATTAAAGAGCAGGTTGCGGCTGGGGCACCTGGGGCTCAATCCTGCCAGGGACACTGTACACAACACGTCTCAGCTTGGCCCACCAAGAGCAAGGAGGCTGGGGCATTTACCCTCATGGACTGAAAGTCACTCCTGAGCCATTAATGCCCAGGGCCAATGGCCTGCCCGGCTGTTCCCACTCCCGAGAACACCTGTAGGCACAGGCTAAGGGAGCTGTGGACTTGGCCAGAACTGTCCGCAGGTGACCACAGGTGGGGCTGGAGCACCACTTGCTACAATCTGCTCCAGTCAAGCCCAAATGCGAAAGATTAAAAAGAAAAAAAATCCCACAGCCTCTGCATGGGGGAAGTGACTGGGGAATTTGGAAATGGCCAAAGTCCAAAAATACATGGTAACACTTGAGCACACAGAAGGATCCCCACTCACGTGGCAGGACAGAAACACGACTTTCCCAAATGCGTAATGAAACAGAAAAAGGGGAAGGCCAAAGGAGAAGTGAGAACTCAGGGGGCGGTCAGATGAGGTGGCCGGTGCTGACAGCATCCCACTTTCCCAGCGATCTTCCCCAGGGGGGAGGACCGAAGCCAGAGACAGAAATAAATTTTTCAGGAAGGAAAAGGAAACGCTGTTGGAATGAAGAGCCTCCAAAACCTTCGTAGCAATGAAATATTGGGAGAAATCTGATTTTAGATGCGTGACCCTTTAGTAAACCCTGTCCCACTGTCTCCTTGGCACGATCCTCTTTCTACTCATATGGAAACCAGCCAAGAGAAACTGTCCAAAGATGATACTCTTTGATGTTTTAATATTCTGATTCTGCAATACATATCCTCACATGAGCAGGCACCAAAGACTCCAAAAAGAAGCCCCACATTTGTTTAAATTTTCTCAGCTGCTCTGTGACTGTGCCATGACCCCAGCTGGAAGATTTTTCCAGACGTGGGACAGAAAGTCCCCAAGGGGTGGGGAAGGCATTGTTTCTGAGCGTTCTGGGAATGGCCGAAGGCCTGCGCTGGCAGAGCACCCAAGCAGCATCGAGACTGTCTTCTTGTCTTTCCCTTCCCCCGACCCAGGGGCCTGGCCTGTCTCGTTCAGACCCTTCCTGCCCAGCAAGTTCCCGTGACACATGAGGTGCTGCACACATGGCTGCTGGAGTGACCTAAGCCAGACAGGAGGGGGAAGCCAGGGTGGGCAGGGGCGCCAGCTGGGTCCACTAGGCCGTGCTAGGCTGCTCAGGGAGGAAAGAGGCAGGTGTCCAGCTCTGAGGCCTGCGCCTGGCGTAGGGACTCAGGCATGGGACGGGCGCCTGCAGTCTGTCTGCAGGTATGGCCCCAGAGACCTGGGACTTGAGGTGAGCAGAGGGGCTGGTTGGGTCCTGGTGCCCAAGGAGACCTCTGGCCTGGAGGGAAGAGAGAGTTCAGAGTGTGGCTTAATTTGTGGGGCTACAAAGGCTTAGCTGTAGGAAAAGGAGGAGGCAGCGAGGCAGCTGCGCTGGAAGGAACAAGTGGGAGTGAGACTCGGCTGGGCCTCCGGGGCTGGATGGGGACTGCAGGCTGCTGAGGGTGCAGGCAGGGGAGGAGGAGGAATGGTCTGCGCTGGGAAGGCAGGGCTGTGGGCGCTGCAGAGGGGAGGCAGAGTGGGAGGGCAGGAGGGCCTCAGGCTGCCCCATGCAGATTGCTAGATCTGGGCAAGCTGCTCAGACTTCGATCAGGCTTGGGTACTAATAGCAGGGCACCTCTTGGCCAGCGTGAGGCCCGCCTGACAGGGCAGCAGGGAAAGGCAAAGTGCAGGAACCCCCACATGCGCGGCAATCCACGGGAAACCACTTGTGAGCACGACAGTAGCCAGGGGCACGTGTCCCATATTTACAAGGGCCTTTCTCCTTCATCATCTCATGTGACTCTCCCAACCTCTGTGGGAGGGGGTGGCATTGGTCCTATGCCCAGAAGCGTTAAGTGGATCCCCCAGAAATCACAAGCCGGTAAGCGGCAGTGCCAAAAGTCTTTCAAACCCCAAACCCTGGGCTCCTTCCCAAATCTAACAAGAGGCTAATTTCATGGGGACACAGGGAGCAGGCGCTGATGCCCATGGGTGGAAGCTCCATAGCTGTTCGTTAAGGGACTGAGTGAAAGGCCAGAAAGGCAGCGGCAGGTGGCAGATCTGGGAGGGGGCACCGTGGGGTCCGCTATCTCAAGGGCGTGGGGAGAGGAGGGTACTGGCCCGGTGAGGTAGGAGCCTGCATGTCAGAAAGCACGAGCCCTGAGCTTTACACACTCACAATGAGCTGGCAGCGGAGGAGGCCTACAGCCCGCAATGCAGCAGAGATCCAGGCTCAGGTTTCTGGCTGACATTTAAGTGAGGAGGTGCAGGCTAGGAAGGGCAGGGCTTGGAAGGCTTATTATTTTGGTGCAGTGAGAACTAGAATTTTCGTGAACCTGTCAGGTTTCTGTGTGTGTCTCTGACTGTAGCTGTAGCAACAGAGATGCTGGGGCTGTCCCTGTACGGGCTCAGGTGATCACTGCTCACCATGGACCTCAAACCAAAAGGAATTTCCCCAGACCAGGACACAGAAGGCAGTGAGCAGGGGGAGGAACGCAGGCTGGGCCTCCCCCAGAACCTGCAGGGGCAAGGGGGGAATCACTGCTGGGCCGACCTGCAGGGATGGGGGGAACCTGCCCAGATGGAGATTCCGCTGGAAAGTCCTGTCTGAGCAGTCACTGCCTAGATTCTCCTCTCCCCAAGGCCTCCTACGAAGGAAATAAATTAACTGAGGAGGAGGGGAGAGGAGGGAGACTCCCTCCGAATTTTTTTTAATTGTCTTGCTGTGATTGCCTATTTAAGCCCACCTGGCAGAAAGGGGAGTAAAAACACTTCACCCTCCTTAGGGGGCCCTGAGAGAAAGGGGAGCTGAGCTGAGCTAGCAGCGGGGCGGGGGGCAGGCGGGGCCTGTGCACCGGGGGCAATGGCAAGCGGATGGCAAGCGGACGTCCCGGGAAGGAAACCAGCAAAAAGATTAGGACAAATCTGGGGGTCAGGCGAGGTCAGGACCAATGTGTACAGGGTCCTGGACATCCAGCCTTCAGGAAGGCCAGATGCTGAAGCCGTGAGGGAGAAAGTTAACTGTGTGAGGGCAGGGAGGCGACCTGCCTTATCTGTGAAATGGGCACAATAATGGCATCTTCTGCCACAAAGCTGCTGTGAGGAGCAATTGAGACAACACATAGGAAGGACCCAGAATGGCGCACTCAGGGTGACCACCATTGTGCCTACTTCCTATCCACTCCCAAAGGCCTGCATGCCCGCTAGTAACCCGGTGTGTTCAAGAGCTGATGAAAAATCCAAAGGCATCTTTATGCCACCGAAAGAGGAAAAAAGGGTAACAGTGAGCTGCCTAAATTTCAGAGAGACCCGTAGCCCAAGCAGACAGCTAAGGGGCACCCTCACGTGTGAGGCCAGCAGCTGCCCACCTGCCTTGAGAGACTGGGCTCAGAGGACGCTTTCATGCCCCCCTGCCTGTCACCTCCCATAGCTGAAGGTCCCACCAGTGGTGGGCCGACGCTTCCAGAATCACACGTCACCCATTGTTCCCCGGCAGGACCTGGTTCTCTAGGAGGGAACAGGCAGTTGAGGCAGTGGGACACAGGCCAAGGCGCTCTGCGTGTTATGGGGTTTCTGTGTGTTCAGCCATGTGGGCACCTCTGGGTGAGGGAGGTGAGTCGCCACAGGGCAGCAGGAGGGTCCTGGCACCTGGGGAGGTTGTTAGGACAAGTCTCCCCAGTGAGTAATTCTTCCTGGGCCAACCACAGAAGGCAGAAAGTCTGAAAGGAGTCTTGGAGGAAGGTGGTTTCTGGAGCACAGGGAGGATTCACAGCCTCCTTTCTCAAAGCTAGGTTTCCAGGAGCGGTGGAGGTCGAGGGTCAGTACTGAGCCTGCACCCCAACAACAGCAGCTCACACGTACGGGTCAAGCAGTGCTGAGTGCTTTAAACGTACATCTCCTCTAACATTTCCACAAGCGATTGTTCCATCCCTATTTTACAGGGTGAGAAACTGAGGCACAGAGGGTAAGTAGGTGACTATTGCCCAGTGGGAGGCAGCAGGCTGGAATGTGAACAGGCTGGGTTCCCACCCACTGTGCTACCTGCCTATCTGTGACTCCTGCCCCGATCTCCCGGGGGACCCATGCCTGGCCAGGCCCTCAGCCGCCTGCAGGCCCGGATGGTAGGGAAAGGTTCCACTGAGGCCTGTCTTCCTTCTCAGGATTCAGAGCGCACACATCCAGCCCACCCTCCATGAGAAGATGGAGCTTTCTGGATTAAGACTTGGGCATTCATCATGGAGGCACAAGCTGCGTCTAAACATGCCCTCAGGTACTCCGTGAAGGGAGCAGAAGTCTGCCCTAAACCGAGTGAAAAATCACACAAATGAAGGGCTCTGCTTCAGTGCACAGTAAAGAAAGATCAAGGCCTCGATTAAACAATAATCTTCATATATCCCAGAAGTGAGGCAGCTCCAGTCTCTCCCTCTAAATCAACTTTGCAAATAAGCCCTCAGAATTAACCATCTTATAATTTTCTTCTCACGAAGTTCTAATGTAACAAAAGAAACTATGTCTGCTTGTTTTCACTTCTCAAAGCATCAACTGTTCCTTATCACTTGGAAGAAGCTAATTTCAAGAATTAGTAAATAAATAATAACAACATTAACCAGGGAGATGATCCAGAAAGGCCTAAACAGAAAGTCCACTAAGGCTCGGGGGTCTTGATACTTGTCCACCTTCCCAAGGCTAGAGGGGCACACGGCTAATGTAAGTGCCTTGGTCTCAGGAAATGAGTAGACGCTAGATTTCCTAGACTCAGTAAGAGAAGTTAAGGGCCTCAGTAAATGTCGTTAGTCTATCATGCAGGAAAGACCATGCAGACAGACGTAATGGGATGGTGGTGAAGCCCACCTGGGTTCACTCGCCACATCTGCGATTTCCAGCCTGGGCAACAAATTTGCTCCCTAAATCCCAGTCCACTCAGCTATAAAATGGGCAATGAGAACAGAACTCACACACATCACCGGGCTATCAGGAGAATGAAGAGATGAGTCATTTAAAGGAAGCAGGAAGCACTAGTAAACGTTGGCATTATTACTCTTACTGTGTTGTTATTTGAAATCCCCAACCCAAGGTGCCTGCTCTAATGGCCTCTGCAACGTGATTAGGAGGATTCACATACTGGTGGCCTCCCCTTGGCAGGGTGTTCTCTCCACAGTGCTGATTTCTCAGCTATATAACTCCCCAAAACCTAGGTGTTTACATCCTAATGAGTTGAAATACCAGTTTCCTGCACAATTTGCCCTCAACTGGCTTTCTTGTTGCGTTGCTTTCAGGAAATATTTTAAAAAGTGGAGAGCACGTTCTCATTGGTGCCTGGCACACCGACACTTCCTGTGTGAAGGCAAGATAACTCAAGGGCAATTCGAGAGCACAAGGGATAAAATAACTCACAAGCTAGAATCCACTTGAAACGTGATATTTTGAAGTAACTGTCAGTCAATTTCATGTCGTCGTGCTCTCCCCAGAAGTCACAACTTCAGTTAAGTAAACAGTCGGGCAGTCAGATAACTGCTTGATAAAGTTTTTCCCGTTTGATGGACTGCTGTCTCTACACTCTAATTCTATTAATTTTTCCCTGAGATGCCATGCAGATTACTGAAAAGCTGTTGGCCTCTCTCTTTAAGCGGGTCAAACCCCCGGTGCTGACATACTTACTCCCAGAGAGTGGCTCTTCACGCACATCAAAGGGATCGCCATCTGGTCCATCCAGGGTCTTGCTCAGCCTCCCTGGTGAAAATTCTCCACCATCTCCCTCTCCAGAGGGTGAGCTGGGCTGCTCGGCAGTGGGCACCTCCTCTCTCACGCCTGTGCCAGGCTCTGGGCTGTGGTCCCTCCCGACAGGAGCACTGCACACGTCTGCGGCCCCTGGGTTCTCGCTCTCCAACGACACGTGGTCCCCACGTGCGTGTTTTGCATCTCTGGCGTCCTCAGCGCTGGTGGCAGTGGGCACCCGAGGGCTGCCGCCTGCCGAGTTCCCAGGGGAACGGTGCTGAGGTATAACACCGACAAATTTCAGGCCCCGGCTGGCGGCCTCCTGGATCTGCAAGGCAAACGACACGCAGGGAACCAAGTGAGCGGGACGGTCTGTCACAGGCGCAGACGTGTGCGGCGCGCGAAGCGCCACTGAGGCCTGCGCGGCTGCCTCAGCGGGCGCGTGAAGAACGCCAGCATGGCCGAGCTCCGCGTCCTCAGGGGCGCTCGCACCCTCACCCCGGCCTGATGGAGACAGATGCCTGGGCTTGTTCTGTTTAATTCTGTTGTCTGATGGAACAGTAAAGCATTTTGCTATGAAGGGTTGGGATCACCTCTCTTTGAAACACTGCATTAGTTCCTTAGTCCCTATTAGCTTTTTTTTTTTTTAAGAGTGTGAAAAAAAGTTTCTAAAAGGATAAGCTTGAACAAACAGAGTTTGAAAGAGGAAGTTCACTTTGGTAAGAGTTTATTTTTCTGTTATCTTTCTGATGAATCACCTACTTCCTGCCCACTGGGTTACTATATAAATACAGTATGTCTATATAACCATACACTAACACCAGGTGGCATTTTATGACCCAAAGAGCTTCCTTTTTTAGATAATAGTTTTGGCAGAGAAGAGCAGAGGTGGGGAAAATCACTCCTGTGCGAAGGCTGAGGGCACATCCGATGGACACCCTGCTCTGCTCCGTGTCTCTCAGGCCTAGGGTACGGCAGAGGAGCCCGCAGACCATGCCCAGCCCACGGCTGTAGGCAGGACCTTGGCTGCACATGTCCTGGTACACACTGTGCAGCGTAGGTAACAGAGGAACTGTTCCTTTTCACTCCTTGCACCTGTAGGACGGGGGTGACCATCCACGTGGAGTATTGTGGCACTCTCCCTAAGAAACAGCCCCAAGCAATTGAATTTAATAGTCGTAAGTTTGAAAGAAAAATTGAAGGTAATAACCAAAATAAAATCAAGCAAGAGCCAGCCAAAACTAGAAGGTGGGTTTTAGGGGACTTTTCAGGCACAGACGCTCCAGGTGCTTTACAAATACATAAGGCAGTCAGAGACCTCAGAGCTGTCTAAGTCTTAGTCACCAACCCCTAAGCAGATAACCTCAGAAAATACTAATCATCTATCGCCATTTGAGAATTAGTTTCATTAGCACGGAACTACTCTCTCTAAAGGAAAGGCAATCCTCGGCAGCTCTCCTCGGTGAACCACCCTAAGGTAATTTTAGTTCCACACTGCACATTCCAGAACAAAGTCCCGAGCAGTTGCAAGTGTGCAATCTGGTCTTCCTATAAAGTCTAGCCTGTGTCAGACAACAATAACAATGGTAGTAATTGCCATCTAGTGCAGACCTATGTGCCAGGCACTGAACTAGGCATTTTACTTAAGTTGTTTAGATGAATCCTTTAATGACCGTGCATGGTATCATTATCTCAATTTCAGACAAGGACACCACGTCCCAGAGACATTAAAATCATAAAGCAAGCAGTGAGTAGCCAGAGTGCAAAGTCAGATCTGGCTTGGGCCAAAGTCCATTCTCCTAACCACAAGACCAAGTAGACACATCCGAAGGCATCAAATACCTATGTCCATGGGCATGTATGTGTCCATTCATATGTCCATGGTTGGCTCAATTCACTCTTATTTCAAGTTAAAAAATGCTTAAAGTCATTCTTTTCATTCTGAAAATTCATTTTCCACTCATTAATCTGTGATATCCACCTATTTTAGAAATTATTCTGAAAAGCTTCTAAAAGATAATACAGGTAACAAAAGTTTTGAAAGAAAAGAGTGGGGAGATAATTATACCAAAGAACCTTAGGTTAAGGAAAGCTTTTGCATACAAAGGTTAACTTTGAGCTTCCTGGCAATATATGCAAAAAGAGAAAGGCAATAGATTTTATAGTCCTCAAATGAAATGAGGAGACAGCTTTGTACTAGCTCCTGCTACTACTGTCTTACCACAGAGAAAACAGATATTACTACTGAAGCATTTTTAATTTCTTTTTTTTAATTATTTTTTTTTAATACGAATGGGTGGAGGGGGGTTTAAGGAGATGTGTTCAATTGCCTTGTTTGTTTTTGTTGAGACAGAAACAAAGTCTCCCTCTGTCACGCTGGGTTGAGTATAGTGGGGTCACTGTAGCTCACTGCAACCTCAAACTCCTGGGCTCAAGCGATTCTTCTGCCTCAGCCTACTGGGTAGCTGGGACTACAGGCGCACACTGCAACACCTGGCTGGGGTTTTTTTTCTTTCTTTCTTTTTGGTAGAGACGGGTGGGTCTCACTCTTGCTCAGGCTAGTCTTGAACTCTTGAGCTCAAGCAATCCTCCTACCTTGGCCTCCCAGAGTGCTAGAATTACAGGCATGAGCCACCACGCCCAGCCTGAAGCATTTTTAAAAATACTGGCTCAACCACAGGCCAGTCTCAACTGGAGTCTTAGAAATTGCATGAGGTTTGAAGGATTTCAGGAAGGCCTGCTTGGAGCCCCAGATGTGTGACTAATTGGCTTGGGGAACCAGGGTAGGTTACATAAGTTTTCTGTGTCTTGGTTTTCACATCTATAAAATGGGGGAATACTAATTCCCCCATTTGCTCTGAAGATCAGATACTATGTATGGCAAGTGCACCAAAGGACAGGGCACAGGAAGGATACCTCTAACCTTCCTCCTTACCAGGCCTGGGCTTCCGTGGCCCAGCAGAGACTGCTGAAAGTCATTCAGAGGAAGAGGCAAGGACTCTGGACACAAGGCATTATCTTAGCCCTCCCCTTTCCCCTAGGACTTCAAGAATTAGAGAGGCTCAGACATAGACTTCTGCCCTTCTCCCACGACAAACTGGACAACCATATCACTTTGCCATATTGTACTGTAAATTTGTCCTCCAGGCCAGGGGTTCTCAGGGTGGCCCACAGACTGGCAGCATCAGCAACCCCTTGGAAACTTGTTGGAAATGCAAATTCTCAGGCCCCACCACAAACCTACTGCATCAGAAACTCTGGGGCCGGGGTCCAGCAATGAGTGTTTTAACAAGCCCTCCAGGCAATTCCAATGCTGCCTGAGGTTTGAGAATGACCGTTATGGAATACACATTTCATGAGGACCGAGGCATTTGGCATTGCTGTGTCCCCAGAGATGCCAGCATACAGCAGGTTCTCAATAAGTATCTGTTGAATGAATGAATAAATACACTAAATAATGGATGAGTATGTTATGTTCCTTCTCCCACAATGAGCTCCTTGAAGGTAGGGATGGAAACTGATTAATTTTTCAGCTCTAGAATTCAAGAAACATTTATTAAGTCCCTACACTGGCCCAGACCAACACTGTGCTTAGGTACTGGGATACAAAACAGGAGGTTCCCACCATCAAGAAAATTCATCCAATTATTGTAAAGAAATTTTAAAAGTAATTACACTAACATGGAACAATTAATGTTTATAATATTATGCAAAAAGTCAAGACTCTTAACTTTATAGAACAGTATTATAACAACTATGTAATACATATACATAAACTATGCATGGAAACATTCACCAAAATGAAAACAGCACAGTATTTGGCGAGCGGGGCTGTGAGTGATTTTTTTACTTTAATATTTTGTAGAGATGGGGATCTCCTTAAGTTGCCCAATCTGGTCTCGAACTTCTGGCCTCAAGCTGCCTCAGCCTCCCAAAGTGCTGGGGACTGTAAGCATGAGCCACCATGCCCAGGCCAATTTTTTTCTATTTCTGTGTAATGTTTCAAAATTTATTTAATGAGTATGCATGTTACTTTATTTATTTGGGGGGGGAGGGGTAGAGTAGGGGATCTCACTATGTTGCTCTGACTGGTCTTGAACTCCTGGCCTCAAGCAATCTTCTCATCTTGGCCTCCCACGGTGCTGGGATTACAGGCATGAACCACCGTAACTGATCCATGTTACTTTTAGAATTGAAAAAAGCAAATATTTTAAAAATGGATCATAGAGGGTAATAAATGCAGTAATGGATGTAAAGGTATAGAAATGGCAGTGACAAAAGTGATTGTTTCTGCCTGAGGGGAGGCTGAGTAAAGTTTCTCAGAATAGGTCAGAGGTGTAGCAAATGAGAGGTGAATACAATAGGAAGAGGTGAGCAGTGTGACAGAACTGGAGTGTGTATGACTCACTTTAAAGCATTCATATCTTTTTTTTTTTCCCAAAATACTGTACTAGACAAAACCTATTTGGGAACCAACTCTGCAGGAGGCTTTGAAGGATGAATAGGAGTTCACCAGAAATGTGAAGGAAAGGCAGAAGGGCAATCTATGTAAACGCAAGGAAGTATCATCATGGCAAAAGCTTAATTGTATGCAACAGCCTGATGTGTGAAGGAAGTTTATAGAATTATTTCTGGAACATGACAGGAGAAGCCAGGAGTGCCCAGAAATGAGGCTGGACTAGAAAGCACAAGGACTAGATCACATATGTCCATGGATACCACACCAACAAAGGCTCTGCCTTCACCCTGCAGGCCAGCATATCGCCAACTCTCCCGCCAAAGTATTATAACCTCAAGAGCAGAGGAGGGCGGGAGTCCCACACCAAAGCTCAAGATTTCTTTGAATATTCATCTTTTACCTTCAACAGCAGTGCAAATTTTGTATCCTGCATCATAGTACTGCATAGTACCAAAACCTTTAAAAAGATTCCTAAGTTAAATGTTCCACTCTCCAAGCCATCCAGGGAAATTCATGACCCCAGGAAGAAGATGCATCTTTGTGCATAAATCTTTATCTGAAGCTCTACTTACATCCTTCGGGCAGATTCCTGGAAGTAGAATTAATGAGTCAAGGGATATTAACTTTTCAAAGGCTTGATACAGGCTGCCAAATTGTTTACCAGAAAGGGTGAGTAGTCCTTTTTAACTAGAAGACTACATTTAGATTTTATAAAGATCAATATTTGGCTAGACCCTAGGGGCCTTGACACTTCTAGTTTTCTGCCTTACCCTAGTATAAGCACTTTCTTTTCTCTTTTTCATAAAGTCATTTGACTGTGCACATATAGCTAAATCGAGTCCTGTTTGTTTCTCATTCATTCATTCATA